TTTTAGGCACATTTGAAACGTAATTTCTTGGCCAATCTTACTTAAAATTAACTAACTAACATCAAAAGATGATATGTAATTAGTTTCATGTAAAAAAAAGATACCTAAGAAAGTTTTACCATGCGAATAAGTAACTTTTCTCCATACTTTGTGGACACTATAAAGAGTTCCTTGAAAATATAATATCATGGAAAGATATTTAATTCAATTAAGGGAATTGTAAAGTTTAGCATAAATATGTTTTAAGATGTTTTTAAGCTTATTTATACATAAAATTTTGTTTTAAAAAACTTTTCTTTACTCCAAAACAAATAAACTAACTAACTAGTATTTAATTAATATATTTGCCAAGTTTCATGCCAAAAGGTGCCTAAGACACGTGCTATATAACTCTATAATAAATTCCTATATAAGTTCCTTGAAAAGTATCTTTACAAATTTTAAACTATCTATAAGAACTAACTAGTATCAAGACCTATTTATCAAGTTTCAAGGGAAAAAGATGCCTTATTCAACACTTATGCCTAGAAAATAGATAATATTTTTGTGGACACTATAATAAGTTCCTTTAAAAGTATCTTCAAACTATCTAAAGAGTGCTCTCCACATATTTCCCCCTTAGTGGTTTTTTCTCCATTGTGTTAGTAAATATATCCGCAACCAAAACATGTATTAATAAAACACAAATAAAAAAGAGAAATCGAAAAAAAAACATACCCAAAAAATAGTTGCGTTATCTGTGCGGGCGTCTGGCAGACATTGTGAACGTTGAGGGTGCGAGGGCGGGCATATAACATTCCGGCGTGGGTGAGCGGGGCGGAAGACCCGCCTGAGCCAGGATCGCCGATGTCGAGTTGCTCCTGATGGTGGCATAGGCACGGATGTGCGAACTGGTCGAAGAGCGGAGCTCCACCGAGGTGGTGGTGGTCGTGGTCTCCTCCTCAACTTCATCAACAATCTCCTTGGGATGCTGCTCCTCCAGTACCTCTGAATCCTTGTCCATTGGCATTTGTGGTGGCATTTTGTTAGATTTTTGATTTCCAGAACGTAATTTAATGCTATTATTATTGCCACTCAGTTTCTTGGCTCGCTTAATGTTGATGTTACTGGTCGAAGAGTTATTATTGTTGGTATTCGGATTGGTAGTTGTGGCATTTGTTGTGGCATAACGATGTTGCAAGCGCATTTTGTATATCAACAAATTTTCTAAGCCAAATGTCAAAGTTCAATCTTCAAGCTTCCGTTGTTTTTTTCTGTTCGCATTTAGCATTTGCATTTGCATTTAGCATAAATTGTCCATTTTGTTCCGTGCGATCTCTCTGCGACGCCACTTTCACTTTCAACTGAAGAATTTATGGGAAAATAAACAATGTTCAAAAACAAAACTCATACATATAAAAACATGGTGGGTAAAACAATAAATATAATTCAAATGCAGCAAACAGTGTGTGTGTTTAAGTGTCTTGGCTAAATAAATCTGCAAATTTTATTTCCCACTTTTATGTTGTTTAGCACTTGGTGTTTTATTTTTAATATTTTTTTTTCTCTTCGTTTCGTGTGGGTGCCTTTGGCAAATATATATTTATGCATAAATATACATCTTCTGCACAAATTAAATTGATTTCTTTTGAGGCGGCGAACTAGAGTGTGTGTATACGCGTTTGTTTTATAAATTTAGAAATGATTTTATACACCAAACGGAAGTCGGGGCGCAGCAAAAATACAATATTCGTAAATACTATATATGTATATGTGAAGAGAACTCACAAAGAGACACTCGCACAGGCCCAACCTCACACACACAAGCACACTCGCACACACACTCACGACGACTCTTATGCACGCGGCCCACGAGGCGTATACGCAACGTTGTGAACGCGTCGAATGAAGGCAAGCGAATGAGTCGCAAAATGCGACGATGTCCACAGAAGTACTACGACGAGCAGCGATCGTAAGAGAGAGAATCGCTTAGAGATAAAGAGAATAAGCAGAGAGAAGCTCACTCTCGCTCTCTCTCTCTGCCGCTCTCTTGCCATAGCACACGTTCAAAACAAACATTTTTGGAAAGACAACAACAAAAGCAATAATAAATGTAGGAGGAAGCAGAGCGCGTGGGCCAAAACTCTCCATTTGTTTAAACAATAATTTCTGTTGACCAGCTAACGAATTATTCACACCGCACATTAAGTGGAATTAAATCAATTTTTTTTTTCGGTAAATTCACACACCAATAGAGTACAGAAAATATTAAAATTAATTGAATCATTAGAGCTTAAGTTCTCGTGAGCGATTATAATTAAATTAGACATATTTGGGCAACGTACGGTTAAAATATATTTAAATATATCTATATATTTATACTGCTGAGAAATAATGATTTCAAGATATAAAAAAATAATAATAAATTTATGGATAATTTTCTTATGAAAATGAAGCTTTTGATTAAATCAAAGTAATGGAAAAGTTACTACACTATTTAACTTATTAATTGCATTTAGTAAAATTTATCTATTTCTTTTTAATTTTGATTAATAAAATATAATTACTCACTTGTGTATTTATGAATTATAAGTTCTTTCCCCTTTTATACCCTAGAGTATATATTTTTATCAACCTTTATTCGAACCATAAACATTCATCTATTGATTCCCATTGTTTTTGGCACTAAGGCTTTCTTTTGGTTTTGTTTGTTTTAATGTTTTCATCATTGACTTTCTATAAGTTTTCCAATCAATGGCAAATCAAACGAAAGTCAATCGAATTGTACAGTGAGTCATATGAGTATAAGTACAAGTTTTAGTTTTAAGCGTTTTTCTATTTTTTTAATTCCATTAACTAAACAATTACCTACTACAAATCCCTTTTCATGATTTCCCCTTTAATGTTTTCACGATTCATTGACTGTCTAAAGCTATACATTTATAAACGGACTGTGTCTTTAATACCACATTTGTGAGCTGCTACCAATTACTAATTATTGCGATTACTCACAGCCACAAGCAAAATGCGAATTTAGATTGTAGTTGACCAAGTAACCTTGTGACTAATGGCGGGACTCCCTTTTGGCTTTCATAAAGGTCTCAGGCATTTTTACCTGATCCTCTTACCAGGTAAGTTGCTATTTCCGAAGCGCTGTCAACAGCTGTTGGTGGGCGGTCTGAGACGATTTGCCAAATATATGACTATATATATTCATAAACACATATATATATATATATATATATATATTTATATATAAACAACAGCAGCATAGCTATAGAAATTTGGCTATATCTGCCGGCCGAATATTTATTGATGCCGCTTGAAATGGGATTATGAGCGCGTGTAGGTGAACAAAATATCCACAAAATATAAATATGCTATATATATATAGGTATATATTTATTTTCAAAAAAAAAAATTAAATCCGTTTAGACAAAATAAAAAGAGGGCGTTGCTACAAATTATAATGTATGTCAGGGTTTGCTCTTGGCACTTGTTTCGCTTTTGCCTCGAATGCGAAAGTTCAAAAAGATTTGCGCACATGTCCAAGACGGTTGGTTTTTTGTTTTTATTTTTATTTTATTTTGTTTCTATTATTTTCCGCTATTGTTTGTTGTTTTGGCCAAAAATACTCAAAATGTGCACGGCACCAGTGGTGGAGATGCTGTCATAGACGCGCCTTTTATGAGCATTTTGCGATGATGATGCCATAAGCGACTTGTGGGTTGCCGGGTTATCTTGGGTTATATGGTGGTCATAAATCCATCTAAGCCTAATTAATTGCTTTGCCACGGTTTGGCATTGGAACAAGGTGAAAACATTGCATTCGATTTCATTTTTGGCGGTTCCGGATAATCCCGGATAAACACAATACTTTGAGATAGAGATAGTATACAAAATAAACAAAACAAAACAAAAATATAAACAACTTTGTTTTTGTGTTGTGTCTTGAGATAAATACAATTAGAGATAAACTAGAAAAGTTTACATTGACGTTTAAGGGTAAAAGTGATAATATTTAATTTACTAAAAGCAGATAATTCAAGTTGCTACAGTTTACTTTATGTAATAATTTAATTTGAATTCACATGAGATAAGATCACTTTTGTCAAGTCAAGTTTAAGATAAAAAATGTCAGATAAATATAAATAAAATATATAAACTGCAAATTGTAAAAAGCAGCTAAAACACAGAAATGCTTTTCAGTTAACATTTGTTTTTTAAAAGACTTGAACATAAAAGATAATGACAAGTTTGTTTCCTTGGTAGAAGTCTAAATAATTTGAATTATGGATATTATTATAAATTATGTGAAAAGTATATATAGTTTGAAAATATGAAAACACATAACATAGTTTTAGTTATAAACTGTGACTTACAATGTATGACTTTAAGAAGACTGAAATAATAATAACTTGCAACAATTTCAATCAATTTAAATAATTAATCAAGACACAAATTTGTATATCCTGAGATATATTAGGTAAGTAATTAATTAATTCGATTATTCATTAAACTCTTGCCCTACTTTTCAGATACTGAATAGTAAATAAAAACTATAGAATCCACCACCACGGGGGGAACAAAAATCGTCTTGGGTCGACTTGATTGACAAATGATTGTCAGTTGATTGACAAATTGGTTGAAGGTGTGCGACTTGCTAGGTGCTTCTCACCTTCTGGGGTCTGGGGTACACTCGTAAAGCTCTTTTATTTCCAATTCCCACTGCTGATAAGCTGGGAATCGATTACTATTCGAGGCGCTAACATACGGACAACAATTCAATCAAGTATCAAGAATCATGCCTAGATAAGTAAATGGTTGGTAACAAAAGCCAACAGATAATGCGAATTACAAATACATATAGGGTCGGACCTCTCTTGGTATTCGTATTATTTGCTTTAGAGTTAAAAAATAAAAATAAAAATTAAAGTTTATCGCACGCAAACAAAAACGACCTTCAGTAATGGATGCCTTCGTATTTACTTAGCCACATTTAATGTCGCCTCGATCACTTATTGCCATTTTTGGCACTTAAATTTTTGTATATTTATAAAAGCACTTCCGCTCTGCTTTTCCTGGTGGTAATATGTAAGTACTAAAATCATTATTAAGTCATTTTACTCGATTGTTTACATATCAACAGAATTGAGAGAGTTTAAAAGAAAAAGAGAACTCGAGGCTTTTTTTTGCTTCGCTCTTTGTGTAAGCATTTTCTCAAAGTTCATTGAGGAAAGGCATAACCGTTCTCGTAATACCCTACAAAATGTGTGAATTATAATAACATAAAATAAAATAAAACATTATATTTGACGAAAAAATGTATTTAAATCTATATCTATATATTTATTTAAATAAATCGATATTGAAATATTAATTTAAATAAATCTAAATATATCCCAGCGATCCTAAACAAATGTATTCCATATTTTAAGACACCTATTTAAGGAATTATGCAACCTCAGTGTTTTTTTAGCATCCACTATAAATATACTTTTTGCTTTCAATCTTCTATTATATTAAATTAAAAATGTTTAACATATTGCCCTTCTAATATACCTAAACTTTTAATAGGAATTAAGAACAAAGAAACCCTGCAGTTGCTGCAATTGAAATTAAAATATTTGCATTTTAAAAGCCCACAACAATGGCCTGTATATCATTTTCGAATGACAACAAAAATATTTATTTTACGTGTAAACATTGCCTTGTTTTTCGCGGTTTATTAATTTGTTTGTCATTGCCTTTGTTGTTGTTCTTATTTGCTGGTATTTGTTATTGCTACAAAACGTATCAAAATGTTACATCTTTGTGCGGTTTTTATTTCCGCCTTCAATGCAATTGAGTGCATAAACTTAATTATTATCAAAACTGCCACAACTACAACAATGATTGAGTGGAATATAGAAAAGTGCAATGAATAAGTGAAAAAACTGATAGAGGCACAGGAGCGGATGAAGGATATCAGCAAAATAACGATACTAAAAGTATGCTATAGTTTTACAGTTATCACTTTCGATTCGTAATCAATTTAAATGGTGGAAATATTTTTAATCGATTTTAAATCTATTTTAGGAATTTCGGAACTAAGCATTTACTAAGAACTTATACATTAATATTTTGATAGGTCAAATCTCTCAAGCTGCCAATAAAAATGGTAATTAAAGTTCAAGGACATTCCGCTGACTTAACGCTTCATAAACAATTATGTTTATTTCGCAATACTTCAATAGAAATCTTTAAAAAAAATCACATAAACTTTGCTCTTTTGTTTACCTCTTTGGGGGGAAGCGAGGTCAATTGGCTCTCTTTAAATTTGGAGCTCAAGGCTTTTGAAAAAATTAGCGGTAAATCGCATCAAAAGGCAGAGTACAACTTTTCCAGCTTATACAAACACACACATACATACAACCATTCATAGGCAAAAGCGTGTAGAAATTGGCAAACGAAACGAAACCAACTAACGGACAAAAAAGCTTAGGTCATTGACCAAAAAAAGAAATAGCATTGTAAAGAGTAAGGGGCCAAACTAAATTACTCTTTCGCTCTTAAAATAGCTCCCTCTCTCTCTTTTGGCGAGCACGTTTTTCCAGAAAAAAGCCAACGACGCCACTTCTGCCCTGAGTGTGTGTGTGCCACAGAGAGGCCCCACACATACACTCTGTTAGGACAGAGTTTTTTTTTGTTTCTTTCCCTTTCCACTCTTTTTTTCGGCAGCCCAACGACAACAACAAAACCAAATTTGTTATGCGGCCTCATATTATTGTTGTTGTTATTGCTTTCCTATGGGCACCAAAGCGGCGGGGGGCTTACGTCATTCATAAAAATAAAAACGCAGCTCAAAGAGCAAAAACAAAGAGAGGGAGATGGAGAGCAACAACAATAACAAGAACAAAGCGAATGGAGAGTGGGGGCCAATGTCTGTCGTTTATTTTGTTGTTAATGTAATTACCTGAGGAATAATTTAACCATTTTGTGCATTATTTATCTCCTTTGCTCTCGCTGGGCACTGGTCTCCCTTCACTCTTCAGTCCCGATGTTGTTGTTTTGTTTAATCAATTTTCACGGCAGCTCCATTGTTTTTGCCCTTCCTCAATGCATCCGTCCTTTCCAAACGATATGCTCCACTTAACACGTTTTACGCAGTAACAGTAACAAAAACACTGCACACTCTGCTGGCGGGTTGTTAATATATTTATTATTGCCTTCACTGGATGTCACATCTTAAATTAATTAAGCGCGTTTGTTTTGCCCGTTCCTCTTTCTTTTTTTTGTGGAAAACTAGAGATTAGTGTGGTCAGATTATGATCAAACGTTAAAAGTGCGCGAAACATCGATGAATTTATCGATGTATCGATGGCAACAGTGTTGCCATACGGTCAAGGCACAAAAAAGCTAACATAACAGTTGAAAAAATCAATTTATTATAAAGGATGTCCGTCAAATTAGCGCCGGTGAGTTAGCGTCGAAATGGAACATGGAAAGGATATTTAATTTTTCATTTATTTCGTAATTAAAGCATTAATTTAAATAAAGTTTTTAAATTCTAAAAATTAATTTACTTTTGTTTTTTACTGGGTTTGAAAGTATTTGACATTTGGATATATTAAGAAAAAAGAATGTCAAATTGTGTTTTTTCGGATTTCTTAATATCTCGGCTAATTTAAATTTGGTGCGCCTCCCACACCCTATCGATAAATAGCCAGGCAGAAAATATTCCTATTGAACAATTTAAACGATTGTATAAAATATGCATGCAATGCATGAATGGAATTCACACTCCAAGCATTTTGGTATATGTTTCATCAAAATCCGTTCAGCCGTTCAAGAGAAAACTACACTTTTTTATTTATTTCCATAAATGTTCCTACGAAGAATAAATATATCTGGCAGCACGTCTGCCTAAAATTAAATCAGTTTGATTTAAACTTTATTATAAAACTTATGCAAAATGAAGATCCATTTCATTAACGGGATCGCATTTCTGAACATTTTGATCCATGTTTCGTCAAAATCCGTTCAGTCGTTCATAAGAAATCCTGACTTTTTCATGAATGGCATAATTGTATGTATGTTCAAAGAAAAATATTAAATAAAAAATGTGATTTAAACTTAATGGTGGGACGTATGTATACAAAAGCAATAAAGGGCATCGCAGTTCTGAACATTATATACTAGTTAGAGTATATAGAAGACTAACTGCAAAGTTTTATTAAGAGAGCTTTAAATATAAGGGTCTATTTTGCTTATAATTGGACAGAGAGACAAATGGACAGGCTAGATAGACTCGGCTGTTGATGCTGATCAAGAATATATATACTTTATAGGATCGGAAATAATTTATTTACTGCGTTGCAAATTTTTGACCTGAAATCATATGACAAAGCAAGGGCATTGAAGCACTAGATTTGAGAAGCAAATTTTCGAAATAACATTTAATAGTCTGCTCAATAAATGATATCGTTATTCTAAGCAATTTGGTAGATGTTTCATCGAAATCCGTTCAGTAGTTTTGGAGAAATTAACATTTGAATTATTAATTTATATGCTAAGGACGCATGACTATGCAGCCCTGGTACCCAACTGCAATAAATGAAAATGTCGGATTTCTCATTAACGACTGAACGGATTTTGATGAAACATAGATCAAAATGTTCTTAACTGCGATGCCGTCTATGGGGCAGTCTTTCTTTTGCATAGGTTTAGCCATAAAGTTTAAACCAAGATTTCTTGTTCTTTCGTAGGCAGGGCTGCGGGACACATAAATGGAAATAAATGAAAAACTCGGAATTTCTTATTAACGACTGAACGGATTTTGTTGAAACATGGATCAAAATGTTCAGAACTGCGACCCCGTTAATTGTACGATCTTTATTTTGCATAAGTTTTATAATAAACTTTAAATTAACTTGACTTTATTTTAGGTATGCAGTGCTGCCAGATATATTTATTCTTCGTAGGAACATTTATGGAAATAAATGAAAAAGTAATGTTTTCTCTAGAACGGCTGAACGGATTTTGATGAAACATATACCAAAATGCTTGGAATGTAAATTCCATTCATGGGGCATGCATGCATACTTTATACAATTGTTTAAATGGCCAACAGGAATATTTTCTACCTAGGTATATACTAAAATAATTGAAATAGGTAATTTTCCCTGATTTAGATGAAAATTCCACCAAATTGTTTTGAATGGGGTTTGCGTTTATTGGGCAGTCATTTTTCTTAATGTTTTATTCAACAATTTGCTATTGTTATTTAGTTTAGTATTTTTCTTATCATGGTTCCATGGTCTGATTCAGCGAGTGGTTCTCTGCATGTTGCCATCTGGTTCCATTTTCATAGTTCGCGCCTTAGCTATCAGCCCAAATACACCACCCACTGTTATTCGATTTTTTCGGAATCCGACGGTTAAGAACAATTGAAATTTTTACCAAATTCTCGTTAATCTTCCCCTAGTAAGCCTATATACTGTGCATATGTGCACGCGTTCGTAAATCGAAGTTATATGAAGTTATATTAAGTAATCCGTGAAAACACGATTTTTCACACGCTATTTTTTTATTGTATTCAAAATTTAAATAAATAAAATAAATCAAATACTTTCAAACCCATTATTATGAGCATTTGCCATTTTCTTAAACGCTTTAGTATATTAATTAGTCTCTCAGCTTTGAATCTATCTGAAGAAACTTTTCACTTAGTCTTCTATATTCTCTCACTTATATATATGTATGTTGGAAAATGTAAGAAACCAAACTTAACTTTCCCTGTTTTTAACAGATTTATATAATTACAAATTGATTATTATTTAAGAAATTCGGTTTTATTTATATGGAAATAATAGGAAGCTTTAGGAAATTAAATGAAAATGTTATAACAGCTTTTTCAAAATATTTTCATCTCAGAGATTTATTTTTTTCAGAATATCAGTTTATTTTATAAGGAAATTGTTTGACTATATTATATAGATTTATATCTTAGAGAAATATCCATTTAAATGTAAAACTGTAAATGTAAACCTTTAAATATTATGTGTATTAGTCATTGGAAATCGGAATCACACTGTGCGAATTGGAAACATTGAATGAAAATACATATACAATAACTATGATTTAAATAATTATGTATAATTTATTTATCTACAATTTTTAACATCTCTATTTTATATTTAGTCTGTTTTAGTTTATAATTGCACAGAATATAACTTATACGGTTCATGTCATCGATAACATAGGTATCGGAACATTATCATGGAGCCAGCCCTCTAAAAAAGAGTTGGTATGTTTTGGCTGTTTAAAATGGTTACACTAAATATGGCTTGCGATACAGCCAAGACACTCACCAGAGGTGGAGAACAATGATCAAAGAGGTTAAAAACTAAGAAGGAAAAAGAAAAGAGGGAAAATATAGTTTAAAGCTGCGTTTAATAAATTCCTTCCCTCAAAAATACGCCCCATAACGGTTTTTATGGAATTAAGGATTGAAATTTCATAATGTGGCGCCTCCTCTAGGATTTCTGTGGAAAGTAAAAACGACGTTGGTAACGATTGCGCTCGCTAGGTGTCTTTAATATTTTAAAATTTTAGTTATTAAAGTATTTCTCGCCATTTTCGTGTCTTTGATATTTTTTAAAATTATAGTTATTAAAGTATTTCTAGCCATTTAAAAAAAATTTTTTTTAAAGAATAATATAGATTTATATATGTAGACCGTGTTGAGAAACTTTCACTAAAATAGAAAGAAACAAGTTACAAAGTAAAAGCATTTATATTTAATTTTTTATTCCGTTAAAAATTTCAAATGTATTTTAGGCATATAAAGATTGAAGGTATTTTTGTAATTTCAACCGCTGACAACACACACATACATACATCTGCAATATGATAATGCATGGCTATTGACTTTTCTTAGCGAAATCGAAAAAAAACATGCTATTGCCGCGAATAAATAAATATTAAACTGAATCATCTGTGTTTTGTTCCTATTTTTTAATTTTTTAGCTATTACTCGTTGTCTGTAAATTGATTCCGGTTAAATATTAAGTTTTGGCGTTCTATATTAATAAAACTAATATGGGAAGTTTATTTATAGTAATAATAAGTGTTACAATAATTTAAAAAAGTATACATCTAACATTTCTTGAAGATTTAAAAATGATAATTACATTTGATATTCAGAAAATATCTTTAATATTTGATTCGCAAATAAAATATTTTATATCATCGCATATCCATATACCATATATATTTCCATAATCAATTTGTTATATTTTCACTCAATTAATTGTATAGGAATTTAAAAAAATTCATATGAATCTCTCGCAGGGATAATTTCAATAAAACATAATTTGGATAAATTTTTAGCTGTACAAGTTTAATAGGTCCTCTTGATCAGACCATTGTAAAAAGAATGATTTAGACCATAAAAAAAAAGAAAAATGATTTATTCCTCGGTAGTTTCGTAATTATCGTTGTTACGCTTTTCGCAAATGAAATATTTAAATTCAAGGCAATACACGTCATTCATCCTGAAATCATGATCAGACCTCAACTCAACGCAATCCTCGGCTCCGGGACTGGAATTCGGTTCGTTCTCATCCCACTGAAGGAAAGGAGCTCTCCTGTCGGTGGTTTCGGATACGAACTCGTTCTCTTCGGCACGGTCGTTGATGTCAGTCCAATAGCTGTGCTCCTGGTTCAGATTCTCCCTCAAAGCATTCCACTCGTCTTCGTTTTGGAGACTTACCAGGTGTGCGTTCATATCCCGACATTTCATCACAGCCGTAGTCCAGGTGACTGTTCGATTATCTTCAATGTAATATGACTTTGAACCAATTGTCTGGAATTTATTCTCTTCAGAATTGCTACCAATTGTCTGCAATTTATGCTCTTCAGAATTGCTATTTTCTTCAACAGATGTGCTCTCCGTATCCTGATTATTTTGATGATCATTTTGCTTTTCTATATGCTCCTCAATATCTAAGAGTCTCTCTGATAGGTTCTCATACTTCGAGGAGAATTCCGTCAGTTTCTCTTTCAGATCCTTCTCCCAATTCTTCTCCACTTTCTCAAGTCTTTGAAGGAATGTCATTTCCTCGTCATGCTTTTCCACTTTTGAAATTTCATAGTAATTTCGTTCAATTTGACTAATTTCCGGCTTTTCTTCTCCTTTTTGATTTCCCAACTGCATTTCCAGTTGGAGCATCCTGTGCTCTAGGTTTTCGCTATCGGAGAACTGCCGAGATTCCAGTCTCACCAGTCTTCGTTCAAAATCATCTAAGACTGTATTGCCCTGTGGTAAGTACTGGGATTAGTTGTAAATCAATGAGAATTATTTCTTCATTAAACTCACAATTCCTCTTGCAAGGATATTTTGGCAAAGGACACCGAAGACGAAAAGGATCACAATGTATTTCATTTTGCACAAAACTCAAGACTTTCTCTATGTGGCTATTGAAAACGACTAATGCAAATCGTCTAATTCCTAGGGGTTTTATAGGCACAATCTGTGTTGAAGTTGATAATGAAAAGACCTTTTGACTATATAAAATCTACAACAAAAAAAAACAAACAATTTTCGCTTTAATTGTTTTTGTTTGTCTTTATTAATTCCTTTGAAATTTGTTTGAAATTTGTTTGAAATTTGTTGATAACAATTTATTTTGCATTTAAATGTACAAAATAAGTGCTTGTAATATAATATTTTACTGGTGATCTAAGCTAGGAAATATATTTTATTTTTGCGTAAATCACACACTTTGGAACACCCTTAAGAAAAGACTTACTTGCATCTTAATTTGTAATTTCCTAATGGCGTTTCGCACCTCTACTCTGTTGCATTGTTTTATTTTTAATTTAAATTACCTGTTTGACTAATGCAACGTCTCTGGCCACGGTTAGCAACAATAATAACAACACTCTCAACTCATTATGCATTGTTTATTGCCACTCAAAGTGCGCTCTCTCTCTCTCACTCTCACTCCAGAATTTTCCGAGCACTGCAGAGGCGCTCTTAATGCACATACAACAATGGGGGAAAAACTCCACTTTCCACCTAATAGGTACCACAACCCCCATTCCTTTCCTCAACTTGGCAACAGTTGCACCTGTAACTCCAACCCAACCTCATTCGAAATGGTGCTGGAAATTAAAATGTATTTAAATGAATATGTAAGCGGTTTTAATTATTTGAGTTGATTCATATATTAACGTAAAAATTACTCATTCGAACCCTTAATAGTTAATTTAAATATTCAACAAAATAGGTATCCTTTTGATACATTTTCCCCACACACTCTCAGGTGCTGCTTGGCAAGTCAAGTCTCAGCACTTCATTCTTTGGAGCGAGTGAGGTGGTATCTAATTTAATTTAACCAACTAGGGGACCCGCGGGGTATATATATATATATGTATATATATATATGTGTGTGTGCTGCTAATGGCCTTAATAAAAAATGCAACATTTTGATTTAATTTAATTGAAATTCACGCCACTCGAGCAACTCCATTAGGCAGAAACGTGTCCAACGTCAAGGATGCAGATGATGGCAGTGCCAAGGAAATCAAATTACCCAACGGCAACAGTGCCACAAAATGTGGGCGCTGGAAAATGCCTTGGTGTGCGGGCGGGGGGCGTGGCAGTGTATGTAGCAGTTGTAGTAGCTCAAATAAATATTGTCAAAACACTTGTCAAATGGCTAAACAAAGACCTTGGGACAGGGTCAGGGCACAGTGGGCACATCCCCTTTGGCCATACAGAAGGCGTGCCAATTGATAGTACACTGAAATCAAATTTAATATATTTTTTATAATAATAATAATATAAATATTACTAGATTTTTATATTCCAAATTTTGCATATTTTTTTGGAATGTAATTTTCGACAATAAATTCACAGGAATAATAATAGCATTTAAGTCCATACAAAAGGTTTTTAAAAGTATTTAATAAAATGTTTTATTAATATATTTTTGTAAGGTAAAACCCTTTTCTTAATAAATCACTTGGTATTTATAATTAATTTGATTAATATTGTAACATACAAAAATCATTTTCAAAGGCATTACCTAATTTCCGGTTTCTGTAAAAACAATAGGGGTTTGAAAGCATTTAAAAATGTGTCTTAAAATGTGCAATGTCTTAATTAATTCTCGACATGTATTAAAAAGTATTAATTTATTTTATAATAATTACAATTAATTTTCTGAATAAAATAAGCATTTTTTTTGACTTAATTTGACTAAATTTACTTCAAAATCACAAGAGGTTTAAAACCTAAACAAACAGTGTTTAAAAGCTTCCCATAACATCATATTTTTAAAATACCAAATTCGGCTAATTTTTTACAATGCGACACATTTTCAATAAATTAAAAAACCTCACCTATAGTTATATTTTTAAGAGGTTTAAGTGAAAAATTTAGAATTGATTGATTGTTATTTTATTTTTTGCAAGTGCAGCAGCAGGTTAAATTGTACTGAAAACTGGAACTGTAAGCAAATCAATTTGATTCGATTTAAATTTAAAAGCATCTGAACACGAGCATTCGTCACCATCCCCATCTCCACCCGGGGGTGGCACTCCACTTGCTCTCGTCACTGCCCGCTGGGCGATCTTGAGCGTGATTTTCTTGTCGGGGTCACGTGCCACAGACGCGTGCCACTGACATAAGTTTCCAGTTTCCACTTTCCAGCTTTCTAGATTCACAGCTCTTCAGGCCTCAAGAACCGGAGGGGATTTTCATGTCCGCAGGAGGCAAAAAAAGGGGTCGAACTCAGTTTCAGTGGCCCGGCGACAATGTTTGATTTAGTTAAGTTATCAGTTTAATTTTATTAGTCAATGAGATTTATATATATTTTTTTTGCTTTAATTCAACGCGTGTTCCGTATTTGCTGATAAGAGCTAAAGGGGAGTGGTGGGGGAAAAACAATTTAAAAAATAATTGCAAACAGATAGAAACTGGGGTTTTCATGGGAGATAATATTGAGATTATTATATCATTTCAAAAGCGTTAAAAATACTTCTAAGAAAATATAATAGCTAATAATTTAATATAGATTTATACAGTACAGATTTATTTATTAACCTTTCTATCTATTATTTCCCATTAGATTAGATTTCCCGACAAATTTCCTTCCCTTGTTACCTGTATTTCTTAACCACTTCGACACTCTGGCATAACTTTACCGATTTGTCCAATTGCTGATGACAGCCATACCCGTGGCCAAGAACATCCTGTTCACCTGTACATCCTGCATCTGCAGCATCCCTCACCTGAAGTTCATCCACCTCCCCATCCCTCCCCCCGAAAAGTTTGGATCAAATCAGCCATAGAGGTGTCAGTGTACAAAGGACGCGCCCTGACACGCGTCTGACGTTTATTGGTGCCCTCCAGCTGCAGCGAAAAACTTTTCCGCAGCTGAAAACCTTTCAAGGAAAAGCCACATGTGGAAATTGTAGACGACAAGCAGACACAACACACTCACACACAAGCCACAAAAAAATAAGTACACAAAGTCTAAGAAGGCTGAACTAGAGTGGAGAGATTAGATTATGGAAATACTCTTTGAATAAGTAAAGAAATTAGAAGGAAAAGTAATTGGAATCCAAATTAAATAAAGAAATAATTAAAAATTAAATTAAACAATAAAAAATAAATAGAAACTAATTTAAAATATTATTTATATATTTAAATTATGAACTGTCTTAAAATTTCATGATTTCGAAAAACCTTTTCCAAATGTGTTAACGCTGAGTAGCTATTTTGCAATTCTTTGAATATTTTGTTCTTGATAACTTAATTAGTTTCTAACTATATATAAATCATTTATTCCATACACATATTTTTTTATATATATTTATTATTTAAAACTACTAAATATACCCCTTTTAAAGGGTATTGGGAGTCAAGCAATTGAAACTTTCGCCTCCTCTAGAAGAAGGAAGATGGAGAACGTGGGGTCACGATTTGTATTTTTGTGTAAATATTTTCATGTCAATATTGCAGAAGTAAACATGGGTTAAGGGCACGCGAGTTGGGGTCCTTTTTAAGTGCTGCCCTTTAGGCAGCTGGCAAGTGGGTTTAAAATTTCCCATGTCCATACTCTGGCTTTTCCCTCCATTGGCGTCAACTTGTCCCACAAATTTTGAACTCTCGACTCTCCCAATATTTGAAGTGTTTCGAATTTCAACCAAAAACAAAATTAATTTTTTTTTTGCTTTTCTTTAAAGTGTTTTTTTTTTAGTTGGCATTCCTCCTCCCCTAATCAAAAACTACCCCCTATTTGGGGTAGCTCCTTTTGGGCCACACCAAGTGTTGCCAACTCACTCAATGATTTCTGGTTTGCTGCAATTTTCATTTTTCTACTTTTGCACACCGTGGAGGAGGGTTTCTGTTTCAACTGGGCGTTGGGCGGTGGGCGGCGTGGCACTCTCAAGTGCGTACTTGAAAATACAAAAATTTCACCGCATTTCGCGTTATTAACACGTAGGTGCCAAGAACCCTCGCGGGTTCGGGTTAGAAGCTGTTCGCGACTATGGTTGGGCTTTAACCCATGAGGGGCTCAGGGTATGAGGTGCTGAAGTGCACTTAAAAAAAACCATAGAAATATGTATAAAATATGTGCATTTAAAAATGAAATCTTGGCTTTTTGTGGTTGTGTAAGAATTATGATAAACCTTTGCTTCTAAAGTTTCTAAAGCTTTCTTAAGTACAATTCTAAATAATTTTTAATCCTTAAAAAATCCTGCAAAATATTTGTAGTTCCTAGAATATCTTTCAGTGTGGTTGGACCGCTGACACTGTGTAATAAGGAGTTTTCATGGCCTCTTGAACGCTCACGCTTACCAAGCGAGGACATTTTAATTGAGAGTGTTGCCAGGAAGGACGATGATGTTGATGACGACGACGACGACGACGTCGATGATGATGATGATGATGAAGATGATGATGGCGACGCGGTACTTGGCCAGCTGCCGCTCCTTCTTTGCCGCGTTCCGCTTCTCTGGAGCTCCTCAAGTGCGGTCCGCCATCCTTGCCACTCGGCGACATTCTTTCTACCATCTTCTCTTCAGCTCAGTCAGCATTCTGCTCAGGTGTTGATGGATAAAAATTCTAAGAGTACCCCGAACGAGTGGCGGACACTTGGCCAACAAGCAGGGCGGGGCATTCAAAGTTAGCCACGAATAAGAACTTGGAAGTTAACCACAATTTACGGAAGTTAACACAAAGTTGAAGGGAGGAAAGCATTTAAATATTCAACTGCAATATGAAATGTGAAAATCTTAAACCTATTTTGATATTTCATTTGCCAAAAGGAATTGAAAACATTCTTCTGTTAAAAAATATAAAATGAAATTTTGTTAGAATTTTTGTACTTATGTATTCTTTATTTCTGATTAAAAAAGCTGATTTTGCAGCGGAAATAGCTCTTAGAATTAAGGTAGAA